GACGACTTACCGCTGTCCCATTGGGGGACGGAACGCAAAATGTCCAGAACAGTTTCAACTCACCTGTTAAACGATCGAAATACTGTAATACGACAGTTAAGTTTCATCAGTCATCTAATTATTATAATACTCAGGTCCCCAGTGGTGCAGCGTTAAATCTAGAGACTTATAACGCTAAAAAACGGATTTCGATACCCGTGGTGGGCAGAGCACAGATATTCCATTGTGTAACTTTGTGTTTAATAACAAACAGACGAAGGAGTTTTAAAGATATTCAGTAACTGAGTTATAATATGAAGTAAAACTATGGATTCCAGTCGCTGGACCTCCAATATTCACACAAAGCTACACATGAGATATCTGTAATAATTGTCACCATGTAAAACTATGGATTCCAGTCGCCGGATCTCTAATATTCACACAAAGCTACACAAGAGATATCTGTACTAATCGTCACCATGTAAAACTATGGATTCCAGTCGCCGGATCTCTAATATTCACACAAAGCTACACAAGAGATATCTGTACTAATCGTCACCATGTAAAACTATGGATTCCAGTCGCTGGACCTCCAATATTCACACAAAGCTACACAAGAGATATCTGTACTAAACGTCGCCATGTAAAACTATGGATTTCAGTCGCTGGACCTCCAATATTCACACAAAGCTACACAAGAGATATCTGTACTAATCGTCACCATGTTTGATTCACATTCCGGCAAGCTAACTCACTAGGCAGGTCACGTGCTGCCCACAGAATAATAAAAAAGTATATAAGAATGATTATTAAAAACATCTTATTCAATAAAAATTCATATTTTTAAAATTCTAAATCCTTTCCAACTTATTTTTACAGCCATATGTACAGCTATTTATCTGTATTCATGGCCAATTTTCTGATTGTATAACGTATTCAACATTATACTATTCTTGGTCGCCTTAGTGATATACAAGGCTAGGTGTGGCCTAACAGTTAAATTGCTGGGCTGAATATCGAGGATTCGGAGTACGATATGTGCTGAGTACGCTTCGAATTTTCAGCTGTAAGGAGGTCAGAAAAGTGACAGTTAGTCACATTACTCGGTTCAAAGAGCCAAACAAAGCAGTTATGGTAGCGGGAGCTGCTGGATACTTTCCCTTTGATCTCTAGTTCAAAATTAAAGATGGTTATATTTGAATTCTAGTGGTTTCTGACCTGACCGCTTAGCCCACGTGCATATAAGGTTACGATTCTGGCTGACTGATATCATTAGCTTAACAAAACAGTGTCATATCTCTTTAGTTCAAACAAATTAAATTATTTGTCTCTCCCCTTGTCGGCAATTCTTAAGTTTGTCAGGCTCCTCTGGCCCCTTTTGGCTCGAGCCCCTACCCCGCAATTGCGGGGGCATACTTACCTCACTGCTTGAAATAAAATCTAATTATGTTTTACATATCTATAACCTTACCTAACAAACCCCCATGACGCCATTTTTAAAGTGTTATTTTCCTGTAGTTAATCGTTCACTTTCACAAAGTTCTATATTTATTCATTCTTTAAAAGTAAAATAACTCCAGGAACGTCTCAGGAAGCGACGTGTCTTTTCAAACAGGGATTTTTCCGAAGATCGAAGTTACTGATCTTTATGTTCATACTCAGCACTGGCCTAGTTAAGTGAAAAAGACTGATCATGTTTTTCAGAATCGCACGAGCATCCTAGGGGGATGCCAGGTCGATACAGGTTTTTCTGTATTCATCGGTGATGAATTATTCAAATATTTTTAAATTGAAAACATTTCTATAGATCGGTTTAAATGCCGAAGACCGGCGAACTATTCGAAATCAATGTGCCTAAAATTGTTAAAAAATCAAGTTAACTGAAATATTTTTTTACAATGAAAATCAAGTTAACTGAAATATGTTTTTAAATAAAAATCAAGTTAACTGAAATATGTTTTTAAATAAAAATCAAGTTAACTGAAATATGTTTTTAAAATGAAAATCAAGTTAACTGAAATATGTTTTAAATAAAAATCAAGTTAACTGAAATATTTTTTAAAATGAAAATCAAGTTAACTGAAATATGTTTTTAAATACAAATCAAGTTAACTGAAATATTTTTTGAATGAAAATCAAGTTAACTGTAGATTTTCTCACATTCCTAATGTGAAATAATAAAACAAAAAACATCTGCAACTAAAATATTGCGTAGCTTACTAAAATCAAAATGGAACTAACAACTTATTTGTGACCAAGCATCACTGTAAATATCACATTTTCATTATGGGTCGAACTGTATCACCTCGGTGGTTTTTCGTAACTTTTGAGTTTACCATTTTGTTGCAGTCATAGACATCTAAACCGGGAAGGGGCGGGGGGGCATGGGACACGTTCACCCACTTCTTTTTTTTCATAGTAGTAAAATGCCCCTTTAAATGCATAATAAAGTCGGTAAAACAGCCTAAAGAGCCTAAACATAGAGGGCGCGTTGCAGCTGCCAGCATTCTTACTGGCTCGATTTAAATTGTCATTTCTTTATGACGAATCAGTAAAAATGCGAAATTGTTCCGAGAAGGTTGTGCCTCTATGACTCAGTGTGCTTCCGCCATCTATAGTTGTAGTAACAACTTTATCCTCGTTACAATAAAGTTAAGAAACACTTACCAGAAGTATACATATGTATGTATATCGCTCAACCCACAGATCAACTTCTTTCGAATTTCAGAATCTCATGTTTGTTTGTTTGTTTATTTGTTCCAAAATTCGTGTAAAGCTACATAAAGGCTATCTTGTACCGATAGGTTAGAGGCACGGCAGCTAGTCAACAGCACACACCGCCAACTCTTGGACTACGTACTCTCGTCTGATCGAATAGTGGGATTTGTCCGTCAGTCTTATAGCGCACTTAAGGCTCCAATGTGCGGAGCGCGTTTTTGTGGCAATAGGTTGCAAACCATAAATCCTCGAATTGAAAATCCATGCATCTTAACTATTCGGTACACCCGACGAAGAATCGCAACTAACTGTTATAACTGTTAGTTAGCAACAGATAGTTTTAATAATTCCCCCTTGCTTTATTTTGAAAAAAGTACTTATGAGTGCGTTTAATGGGCCATCTGTGCTGTACCCAGTGCGGTTTCGAACCTCGAGTTTTGGCATTGTAAGCCCTCAGGCTTCATGAATATGGCTTTAAAGAGAGAAGTGGGATTAGTGTATTTAACTTAGTGTTTGAGTCCTAATCTCGTGAAGTGACCATATAGTATTTGTCAGTGAAAATAAAAACCGTGAAGGAGGTAGGGAAAAGTCTAGGTAGCACCTTACCCTCCCAGGTCACGAACAACACGACCGAACACCAACCCAGAAAGTCAGCAGCCCTCAAGCTTACTTTTGAGTAACCGCGAAGTACCTGGCTTTAAATTGTTTGTTTGTTTTGAATTTCGCGCAAAGCTACACGAGGGCTATCTGCGCTAGCCGTCTCTAATTTAGCAGCGTAAGACTAGGGGGAAGGCAGCTAGTCATCACCACCCACCGCCAACTCTTGGGCTACTCTTTTACCAACGAATAGTGGGATTGACCGTCACATTATAACGCCCCCACGGCTGAAAGGGCGAGCATGTTTGGTGTGACAGGGATTCGAACCCGCGACCCTCAGATTGCGAGTCGAGTACCTTAACCACCTGGCCATGCCGGGCCCCTGGCTTTAAAAGCATTACTGATATAGCTTGACAAGCATCTACTCTGCGCAAGCAAAATTTATTTTTAGCAAACCATTGACTTCTTTTAAACAAGGACTTGATATACAACAATAGATAATTCAGTAAAAGGGTTCCCTATGAATAATACAGTAAGTTTTAATGCTAGACTTTGAGAATTCATACGCAACTAACTTGATTGATAACTTACATTAAAACATAAATAAGAGTATATTCTTGACCACCTTAAATAATTACTTATATAACACATAAATAAGATGATATTGTTGACCACCTTAAATAATTACTTATATTAACACATAAATAAGATGATATTGTTGACCACCTTAAATAATTATTTATGTAACACATAAATAAGATGATATTGTTGACCACCGTAAATATTAACACATAAATAAGAGGATATTATTTATGAAATAATATATTTACTGCTATATTAACAAAAAAACTTTTTTTCTTGACAACCCGGCTTATAGTTTTCTCCAAAAAAAAAATAGGTTTACAGCAGATAAAGACGAAATTAGTTGGTGAAATTATCTCCACACATTCAAGTAATGATATATAGTGTTGGTCAAATGGTCAGAGTAACAAACATTACTACTTAAAAATTAACTAGTGAATAGAAGGTCGTCCATCTTGGTTGTTGCATTGACTTTACATATCATATTTTCCAAAGACAAACTTGTGTGGTCTTCCCGTGGCATAGCGATAATCATACGGACTCACTACGCTAAAATCCAAGGTTCGATTCACCGCGGTGGCCGCAGTACACAACCCACTGTGGCCTTGCTAAAACAAACAAAACTGTGTGTTTGTTTGTTTGTTGTTAAGTACAAAGCTACAGAATGGGCTATCTATGCTCTGCCCACCAAGGGTATCGAAACCCGGTTTCTAAGTCCGCAGACATACCGCTGTTCCACTGGGGGGTCCAAAACTGTGTCATTTGGTGCTAATTAATAGAAACGTAATTATATATATATATACAATGAATATTTTTGTTTGTAAAAAAAAAAACTGTCATTTTTCACATTTCATTGGTAAACTGAAAACAAAGTAAAAACCTTGTTAAATGAATGCAAAGATACTTATATAAACCTCAAAGAAGCCCTCATCTTATCTTAGGAACTTTGGACTCTATGATATATATGACTGTTTCCTTCGTGGGTAGCCATAAGTAATCTCCAAGACTTGCGATGCTCCCAAGCTAGCTAAATAACCGTTTTGTACTATCAGGTAAAATAAGTGTTTATCTTACTTCAAAGTTTACTTTAATTAATTATCGTTCGTTACGTGCCCTTAAACGTACTAAATGTTTTGATACTGGTATCACTGAAGTTGTTATTAATTTCACGTATACGTGTTTTGATCTTTAAATTGTTTTAAATGGAAATAATTAAAACTCTTATTTGGCGGGAAAATGATCGTCGAACGTAGAATTCCTATGTCTGGTAAGAAACAAGACGTATAAGAATATTAAATCTAATATAAAACAACTGTTGTAGAGTCGGTAATGGAATTTTGTTGTCATGGTAATTTGCCTCTTGTACCGAGATTTGATCTTGTTTTTGGAATCCCAGTATACAATCCTTCTTAGAACATCACTGAAAACGTCAGTAGATTAGCAGGTGAAATGTAAGATATAATCTAACTAATACTCATTGCCTAAAAATAACAATAAAATTAGTAATTAATTAATAACCAAATTTAGATTATCATATAGACTAATAACCATGACAACAATTTATATCCGATCACCACAAACTTACCTTAAGTAAAGTACGTAACTGAATTTGGTATTCTATGAAAACAAAATGTAGCCATGTTTGTGTTAAAAGATAAATTTCTAGCCCGATCTTTGTAAATAGAGGGACTGACTGTGAAGGTATATTGGGTTAGGGTTAGGTAATAGGACGTATGCAGTATACTGTGGTTCAGTCTTACGTAAATTATTGCTCAGATGTTTTGCTTGTTGTTGTTTGTGATATTCTTGGAAAGTCATAAACTTTAACTAATTCCCTACCTTTGATAAAGGTTACGTGTTATAATGTTTGTTCCACAGACTTATACTTACTTATTCTTGTTTTTTTGTCTTGCCCTCATGGAGTGGGGTCATATTTATTCGAAGGGGCGGTGTAGAGAGTTAAATAAGTTTATGTGAGTTGGGGTTTATATATTTTGAATATATTTATTTGGTAATTAACTTAATAATTAATAATTAACTTAAGTTTATGGGATACCATACTAGCTTTCTGATCTGACATAAATACGGGATAATTAAATAATCTTTTATCTCATCATTTTGTCCTTGTCTTGTGTTGACGATTTGAAAACTCTGTCAGATCAGCCAGCTAGCCTTCAAAATGAAATCGTAGCCATTCAGTATCACAAGGTTAAAATTTACTTTGTCGTTTAAACAAAAATTGTACATTTGTTTCTCCTTAGTTATCCGTGTTCATTTTATCCTTTGAAAGACATTTCCAGAGTCTGCGTTTTATGTATACTTGATACTCCTCGGCCAGATGTCAGTGTAAACAAAAAAAAAAGTAACACAAAAACTACAAAAAGCACTTTAAGTTGCTACTATCCAGAACATTGCAATCATATGTCATATCTGTAATCTTCAAACAGTTGGACATCAATATCAAGAAAATGTCGAAGACGTTTATGTGAAAGATTCTATTGAACTGGATGGTGTTGATCTGAGACTGAACTTGTAACACAAGAAAGTGCAGTATGAACAATTACAATAGCACAGTGTTGGAAGTGATGAAAGGACGTTGTTGATATAATAACAGTGATGTGAGTGAAATAGATCCATCTTAATGGGGTTTTTTTCTATAATATGTTACGTATTAGAATTTCAAATAGCCTGAAATTG